TTCTGGTTGAGTGGTTGATCCTTGTCTTTTAACCCTCACTTGCACCTCAATCACGACACAGTCAAGTCAGATGACAGCAAGTGGACACATTATGAAAACTCTTTACTTTCAAGGTATGTTTACAACTAAATGCATAAACATGTACATAAATATACCTTTTCTTAGATATGATTATACAAATAGGTGTAAGTTAAATTGATATGATACTATTTTCTATGATGCGTGAGAGATGTAGTGAATGAGTGATTCTCCAGGACAGGCAATAACTTGACTATTTTTTGTGAAGCTTTTAGCGTGTATATGGTAAATGACTGTCCATGATAGTACTAGGATGTTTGGTATTTTAGTATGTTTTATAAAGGTGCTTTGTTCAGATCTGTAAATACATGTAAAGAAGCAGTGATGGTATTTTGATGAGAAAGAAAGTAGTACCTACATCATCTTTTGTATTTGCAGCCCTATACACATGTAACTGGCAAGGAAGTCATATTTGTCTGATGTCAGTTCATTTTAATGAACCATTGCATTGTCACAATTTTGATCATATTTCTGAGTGAGTATGGTTCAAGTTACACCGATTTTGGAAATATTCCAGCAATAAGACGGCTGGGGACACCAGAAATGGGCTAGACACATTGTACCCATATGGGTCTTCAAATTACCCACTGCCGTAATCTAACATGTCCTTTGTAATATTGTTCTGTCAATGAAGACGGCACATCCAGCATGTGACACCTTTCTTACCATCCCGGTAACATCGCTGGCATCAGTGTGAATGCAGCCATTACAAGAATCTTGAAATTTGCTCTCTAACTCCATATGTAGTGACATTGATGTTTGTTTGTGTGTGTGTGTTTTGGAATAGTTTTGAAAAGGTTTTCTATTTCCGAGATGAATTTACGTTTTGTTTTTGTTTAATCAGATTGTTTCAAGATGGCAGACTAATGGAAAAGCACACAGCTCCTCTCCTCCTCCCCTACATTCTTTTATACCAATTACATATCTGTTAAAATGAAATCGAATTTCAAATTGACAAACAAATAAAATAACTTAGCAGGGGGAAAAGTAAACATAACGGTCAGTCGGTTGTGAGTTCAACTCATAGTGGGGAGCTTTGGCTGGTGGCAGCAATAGTATACAGAGCTCCACGAATGGGGTTGGTTGGTTGGTTTGTTGTTTAACGCCGCATTCATCAATATTCCAGCTATATGACAGCGGTCTGAAAATAATCAAGTCTGGACCAGACAATCCAGTGATTAATATCATGAGCACTGATCCACGCAATCGGGATTGATGACAAGCATAGTCGCCTGTTACGGCAAGCATGGGCTGCTGAAGACATATTCTGCCCCGGATCTTCACGGGTCCCGCGAATGGGGTGAGGAGCTTGAGACTGAGACTGAAGTTGAATAGGGGAGGTGAGGTAAGACTTATTGAATGAGTGAGAGAAGTTACAGACTGTCACACTTAAAACTGACATGTCATGAATTGATAGAAATTGAAAGAAGGCTGAAAGTGACATACATCATTCCACTTTATCTTAAAGGGAGACTTAGCTTGGGTAAATTAGCTGCCCAAGAAAGTTTGATTCTACTCCTTGAAAACCCACTTTGAATGTCTGCTTATGAATCAGTTAATGAATTCCAAATTACACTGAGACAAGATGCCTCAGCTTAGAAAATTGCTCTAACTACAATGTATATAATTTGACTAGAAACAGACAGTCTCGGCTGGATGTCTCTCTTTAAGAAGTGCTCTATGTCAATGTTGGCAATCGTTATAAAATCTTTACCAAATAGTTTAGAACATTACTAAAAGGACAGACACGAAATGGATGCCTATGGCGCCAAAATGGTGAGGGCACCTACCTTTAACAAGAATCTCACAACAATGTAATATTCTTCACCTAACAAAGAGGGTCTGACGGGGAGAATATTTGCATGACCTGAAAGATCCTTGACCCACTGAAAGTTGAGCTCCTTCAATGTCATTATCTGCCAGACCTGAGGAGTGTTATCAAGATTATGTTCATAGTCTCCATGACTCTACATGCTGCCTGCTGTAAACCTGGCTTGAAGGAGGCCAATATGTCACAATGTTGAAGCACTGAACTACAGTGAGGAATATGTCACAATGTTGAAGCACTGAACTACAGTGAGTGAGTGAGTGAGTGAGTGAGTGAGTGAGTGAGTGAGTGAGTGAGTGAGTGAGTGAGTGAGTGAATGAGTGAGTGATGAGTGAGTGGAGAGATGTTTACCCTGTAAAAATGGAAATAAAATGCCATGACACTGAAGCTCATCTGTACGAATAGCCAACAATTTAAAGCTTAACTGAGGCAGCCATTTTACAAAAGTTTCTGTCAGAGTTCATATTTAAATATTTTCTGCCGAAGTGTTTGTGTCACCTTGAGAAGAGTAAGCATATTTGGTTGTTAGTATATAGAGTATATAGTACATGCATATGATAGTGTTGACAATTGCTAGTATAAGTATCACGACTAGCATCTAGTTATCAGTATATAGGTTGGTTGGTTGTTGTTTAATGCCACACTCAGCAATATTTCAGGTATATGACGGCGGTCTGTAAATAATCGAGTCTGGACCAGACAATCCAGTGATTGATATCATGAGCATCCATCCACGCCATGGGACATGATGCCATGCATCAACCAAATCAGCGAGCTTGACCTACCGATCCTATCAGTTGCCTCTAACGACATGCATATTCACCTTTTACAGCAAGCATGGGTTGCTTAAGACCTATTCTACCCAGGATCTTCACGGGTCCAGTATATTGTGTATATAGTACATGTATATATGGTGTTGCTAGTATTAGTATCAATACTGGCATTAAGTATTTTCAGTATGGGGTTTGAAGATTTTTATGAAGAGGTCACACAACATCATTCAGATTTTAAATAAGTTATGCTTGGGTCAGTCACAACTCCATTGGCTCAATAGTGTCCGCCAGGGCAAATGTTCTGGTTGAGTGGTTGATCCTTGTCTTTTAACCCTCACTTGCACCTCAATCACGACACAGACAAGTCAGATGACAGCAAGTGGACACATTATGAAAACTCTTTACTTTCAAGGTATGTTTACAACTAAATGCATAAACATGTACATAAATATACCTTTTCTTAGATAAGATTATACAAATAGGTGTAAGTTAAATTGATATGATACTATTTTCTATGATGCGTGAGAGATGTAGTGAATGAGTGATTCTCCAGGACAGGCAATAACTTGACTATTTTTTGTGAAGCTTTTAGCATGTATATGGTAAATGACTGTCCATGATAGTCCTAGGATGTTTGGTATTTTAGTATGTTTTATAAAGGTGCTATGTTCAGATCTGTAAATACATGTAAAGAAGCAGTGATGGTATTTTGATGAGAAAGAAAGTAGTACCTACATCATCTTTTGTATTTGCAGCCCTATACACATGTAACTGGCAAGGAAGTCATATTTGTCTGATGTCAGTTCATTTTAATGAACCATTGCATTGTCACAATTTTGATCATATTTCTGAGTGAGTATGGTTCAAGTTACACCGATTTTGGAAATATTCCAGCAATAAGACGGCTGGGGACACCAGAAATGGGCTAGACACATTGTACCCATATGGGTCTTCAAATTACCCACTGCCGTAATCTAACATGTCCTTTGTAATATTGTTCTTTCAATGAAGACGGCACATCCACATCAATTACTGATTGCTGAAATAGTTCCTTACAGTAAGTATGATAAAACACATGCATCATTGTGAAAAGCAACAACAGCCATGAATGTACCAAAGAAAATTTAATGGTGACAAATGCCCTGTTAAAAGTTAAATAGTCTATCTTGTTAAATGAAATGAAACAAATTGATGCTTTCTTTCCGCGTCCCATTTCACAATCGAATTGCCGATATTCTCAGCAGCCCATGGTAAAAAAGTCTTAAAAAGTCTTATGTTTCTCAACTTTCCTGCTGTGGGGTTACCCCAAACACACCCACACCACTGTGGTCGTGCCACAGCAGCCACAACCACGACAAAATTGTCCGAGGTGGGGTTGGGCGTTGGCAAAATGAATTGACACTACTTTCTCGATCTGTAGGCAACAGCACAGAATCTTCAGACTTCACATCTGTTCTGAATACAACTGAACTTACAGCACATTAGCCTTCAGTCTCATAAATCATGAAAGTAATTCATAAAGCTGAATGAGCTCACATCAGCAGTGACACATTAATCCATGTAATCTGCAGGGAAGACGTATCACCCACCACTAGATCACTACAAATCAACAGGTACCTTGAGTCAGATAACAGCCTGTATAGATCAAGTCAATTGCATAATACCCACGCATATATATATATATAGAGAGAGAGACTGCAATGTTTATTTGTGCAGCTGATCTCGACATCACTTGATTTGGAATAATCTATACTAATTGATTAAAACATGTTAACATAATAAGCCATATTTACTGTGAAGAAATACAATCAGTTTTATACATCTCGGAGAAAGAGCTCCCAATGACTGAAATTTGACAACTGCAAAGTCACATGATGAACTTAAGGGGAGTTACTGAAGGTGGTCAATGTGTGTGACGTACAACTCAAGTCCTTCAACTTGTTCTCCAGGTGTTTGGAACAGGCTGGGTGGGTGTGGCTAACAGATTTATGACCAGGTCATGTCCTTGAGACGCTTAACACATCATCATACACCATGTTCAGTCTTATCTGATCAACCTCTATCTATGTAACATTTGTTTATGCCACCACCTCCACCCCAACCCCTACCTCACAAACATGTAACATTTTTTACGAACACCCCCTGCCCATAGTAAATGACCTGTCCCTCAGCGCCAAAATTGTCACATTTTGATACTTCAATATGGACATACTATTAGTCAAAGCTTCTCAGACAACAGACATCTGTTACTGTAAAAAAGAGTCAGTTGAGAAATAACGAAGAGAACAATACCTGACTTAGTGACAGGTTATATAACTCACCTTCTCTGTTGAGACATCTGTATGTTCCCCGGCGATCAGTAAACAATCCCAGATGGACACTGTCGTCATCCTGGACATGGGGATCTGCATCCTGATCTGAAAACCAGCAGACACACTATCACTGCATACAGATGGCTATCAGACATCTATGTCTGAATCCAAAATGCAATTGAACGAGATCTCACTACCTCTACCTAGCGACAATCTGGTTAAGACAAAGTCCTTACATCATAGAACAGGTGTGTGCAAGTAATTATATCTGTGTACATACAGATTGCATGAGGGGTAAACATATGCTGTTGAAGAAAAACCCGAGAGCCGGAGTAGGCTGTTGGCTTGCATGTGCAAGTTATACATGGAATAAATGACATGAGTGCAAATATACTACTCAAACAAAACTTAAAGAACACCTGATTCTTTCATATGACAGATTAACTATAGTCACATGAATAAATTGGGTGTTTAATAACTAAATCTATTAGAAATTGGCACTGGCCATGAAGTCCTTGCCAAACTGCCCAACTGATAAGGACTAGTAGAAATTTGCCATTTTATTGGTTTTGTTATATGTTATCATTATAAGGACTTGTGGACTAAAACTGTTAGTTTCTACCTCTGGAGTAGTACTTTCAGATTTATACTATGGGACCACATGAGGTGCATCTAATTATCCAGAAGACATGACAGCTTAACTGTAGTCACATGAATGAATCGGATGTATTTTAATTTCTATTGAGTTGTATATTTACTTTGATATTTTGTACCATGGGACCACATCATGTGTATAGATCTAACAGAGCCATTATCCATATGACTGAACTGAGGGGGCAGTGAATATTGCTTTAAATGTACCGGTATGTCATGTGCTGCTCCTGTATATCTGAACACTAAGTAGAGCAATCAGGAGTATTGGTAATTTAAGGTAGATCGTTCAACTCAATGGGCCACCTCAACGGGCCACCCTGCTCAGGCACCTCAACGGGCCACCCTGCTCAGGCACCTCAACGGGCCACCCTGCTCAGCCACCTCAACGGGCCACCCTGCTCAGCCACCTCAACGGGCCACCCTGCTCAGCCACCTCAACGGGCCACCCTGCTCAGCCACCTCAACGGGCCACCCTGCTCAGCCACCTCAACGAGCCACCCTGCTCAGGCACCTCAACGGGCCACCCTGCTCAGCCACCTCAACGGGCCACCCTGCTCAGGCACACCCTGCTCAGCCACCTCAACGGGCCACCCTGCTCAGGCACCTCAACGGGCCACCCTGCTCAGCCACCTCAACGGGCCACCCTGCTCAGGCACCTCAACGGGCCACCCTGCTCAGCCACCTCAACGGGCCACCCTGCTCAGCCACCTCAACGGGCCACCCTGCTCAGGCACCTCAACGGGCCACCCTGCTCAGCCACCTCAACGAGCCACCCTGCTCAGCCACCTCAACGGGCCACCCTGCTCAGCCACCTCAACGGGCCACCCTGCTCAGCCACCTCAACGAGCCACCCTGCTCAGCCACCTCAACGGGCCACCCTGCTCAGCCACCTCAACGGGCCACCCTGCTCAGCCACCTCAACGGGCCACCCTGCTCAGGCACCTCAACGGGCCACCCTGCTCAGCCACCTCAACGGGCCACCCTGCTCAGCCACCTTAACGGGCCACCCTGCTCAGGCACACCCTGCTCAGCCACCTTAACGGGCCACCCTGCTCAGGCACCTCAATGGGCCACCCTGCTCAGACACCTTAACGGGCCACCCTGCTCAGCCACCTCAACGGGCCACCCTGCTCAGGCACCTCAACGGGCCACCCTGCTCAGCCACCTCAACGGGCCACCCTGCTCAGGCACACCCTGCTCAGCCACCTCAACGGGCCACCCTGCTCAGGCACACCCTGCTCAGCCACCTCAACGGGCCACCCTGCTCAGGCACACCCTGCTCAGCCACCTCAACGGGCCACCCTGCTCAGGCACACCCTGCTCAGCCACCTCAACGGGCCACCCTGCTCAGCCACCTCGAACACAGACAACAGTCAGTACAGATTGTTTGCAGGTTACTAAGTGCATCACTGGTTACATCTATGCCACATTCTATGAATCTCCTAAACACAGACAACCTTGACAGTTATGCACCTGCATTCTCACATGCATCTCTTTAACATCTGCTATGCCACATACTGATATAAGAAACAAAGTCAGTGAGGACAAGAGGAGACTCATCATCGAAGTAGTCGGTCTATATGGGAAACAACAACTTAGTTGAAGTGATTAACAATGTTGATATTTCCCATAATGAAAACACTTGCAAATAATTCTATCTAGCATATAACTAGGTGAGATGAGGTGAAATGGGGTTTAACATTGCGTCCAAGATTATTGCACTTATATAGTGACATGCATGCACGTGTGTGTGGCTGCTTGTACTTGTCCAGACTAATGCACATTGTATAGTGCAAGCACACTGAGATACCATGCCGCAGGACCCTGGTCTGCTCTCCGGACGCACACTCTACCACGAGTCCACAGGTGCTCGCATATAATTAGAAAGTATGATCAATTTTGTGAAGGAAAAGTTATAGCAAAGTGTTACAAGATAATTACGTAACACAGTAACACATCACTCACAGGTCAAGATGCTGCTTGAAAAATCTACTGTGTTGATGTAATTAGCATTGATTATGTATATACACTGATGGAAATAGTTATTACTGATGCATAGATCTGTGGTCCACGGACAGTGTTAGATGGCTGTCAGGTCTGTGGTCCGCGGACAGTGTTAGATGGCTGTCATGTCTGTGGTCCACAGACAGTGTTAGATGGCTGTCATGTCTGTGGTCCACAGACAGTGTAAGATGGCTGTCATGTCTGTGGTCCACGGACAGTGTTAGATGGCTGTCATGTCTATGGTCCACAGAAAGTGTTAGATGGCTGTCATGTCTGTTGTCATAATGCCATAATGAGGTTTGATGGGTTTGCCCCCCAATGTAAAGACATTACTGTGAGCATGTAACACCGGAAATACCATGTCAACAAATCCGTACTGAAGTACGCAAATTAATCATGTAATTACACTGTCTGGTTATAAAAAGTGTTTATTGTACATCTGGACTTATGTTTGTAACGTATTTCATTAATTTCATTCAAAATTCCTTTTAATATTGTTTAAACTAATTTTGGCGAAATTGTGTGTAAAGCGATCAGAAGATCACACAACTCAATGCAAAGATATTACCGTAACACCTGAAATACCATGTCAACAAATCCGTACTTGAGTACACAGAATCATTTTGTAATTACACTGTCTGGTTATACAAAGTGTTCATTGTATATCTGGACTTAAGTTTGTAACTTATTTGATTAATTTCATTCAAAATTCCTTTTAATATTGTTTAAATTAATTTCGGTGAAATCGTGTGAGATGCCAAATAAGGTCGCCATTATTTACAGCAACCACGGTCAGATTACTGCTATTGACGCCTTGAAACGAACTTTAGTTGACAGAGAATGGATACATATATCATCAATGCCATACTTTGAATCGTTAAAAGTCATATTTGTTGTAGTTTGACGAATCTATGTCAACATGCAGTTCTCATGATCACGTGCTACGGTTAGGGTTATTATTTTAAATTATACTTGGGTGTCACTATACTCAAGAAAATATGGCACCTCTCAGGGATCAACCATTATGTAGATATGTCTCATCACTTACAGCAGAAGAACACCCATGTCTTGCTGTTTAATACATCTCTGACTCAGGGATCAACCATTATGTAGATATGTCTCATCATTTACAGCCGGAGAACACCCATGTCTTGCTGTTTAATACATCTCTGACTCAGGGATCAACCATTATGTAGATATGTCTCATCATTTACAGCAGAAGAACACCCATGTCTTGCTGTTTAATACATCTCTGACTCAGGGATCAACCATTATGTAGATATGTCTCATCATTTACAGCCAGAGAACACCCATATCTTGCTGTTTAATACATCTCTGACTCAGGGATCAACCATTATGTAGATATGTCTCATCATTTACAGCCGGAGAACACCAATGTCTTGCTGTTTAATACATCTCTGACTCAGGGATCAACCATTATGTAGTTATGTCTCATCATTTACAGCCGGAGAACACCAATGTCTTGCTGTTTAATACATCTCTGACTCAGGGATCAACCATTATGTAGATATGTCTCATCATTTACAGCCGGAGAACACCAATGTCATGCTGTTTAATACATCTCTGACTCAGGGATCAACCATTATGTAGATATGTCTCATCATTTACAGCCGGAGAACACCAATGTCATGCTGTTTAATACATCTCTGACTCAGGGAACAACCCGACCGCCCCTCAACGAATAAGAGCTGGGACACTTGTTAGAGCAAATATGGTATCTCTGTACTTCAAGTCAGGTACAAAGTGGCAAATGTAGATATTCAACACCCAGTCATGCACTCAAATTCAGTGGATGGCGTGCACAACATAGGTGTATGAATTACAAACAGTTGCAATGTCTTCATTTATATGCCATTCAACAGTACGTCTAGCATCGCACCACTTGAATATATTACACATGTAATGTATGTAGGTGTACTCTTATACTGGCAGTCAAACTGAAGTCTGACTTTATTTCGCCATGTACATAAAAGCATCAATGATTCATCATTACAAATATAAATGTGTAACAACTGCCGAAAAGTCACCGGTCTGCAAGGACCTGGCATCAGTCTTTCAGGGATCTCTTGGCATCATCCAGCAGCCATTGTGACCGACAGATCCTCTGTTGACTCCTGTCATGTGACCCACTGATCCTCAGTTGATGCCTGTCATGTGACCCACTGATCCTCAGTTGACGTCTGTCATGTGACCCACTGATCCTCAGTTGATGCCTGTCATGTGACCCACTGATCCTCAGTTGACGTCTGTCATGTGACCCACTGATCCTCAGTTGATGCCTGTCATATGACCCACTGATCCTCAGTTGACGTCTGTCATGTGACCCACTGATCCTCAGTTGATGCCTGTCATGTGACCCACTGATCCTCAGTTGACGTCTGTCATGTGACCACCTGATCCTCAGTTGACGCCTGTCAAATATGTCT